TAGAGCCACATTTGTGGAATGTGTAACTGGTACTTTTAGAGAAGGTTAACCACCGTAATAATTGTCAAAAAAAAATTTCTGACCAACACGTTACCGGGCCAACAGTTAAGTGGCCCACCAGGAATGTTCCCACATCTCTCGATTAGTCACTCTGGCATTGGATCCAAACCCTGAAAAAACATCCTGACCTCAAGTCGAGAAATATTTCTCTGTGTAACCCTGAAGCATTCTAGGAGGCAGTGAATATAGTATATTGCCAACAGTCTGTTGTGTAAAGTATCCAGGAGACTCAGAATCTCTTATGCAGTGCACTGCTTTCCATGCCAGTACAGACACATTCACTACATATTTCACCACAGCACCCTTGGGTGAAGAAGCACTTTTTTTTTAGTCTTGACTTCCAACCTGATACCAGCGATGTCTTTAGAGCACTCCGGGGTCCCCTGGTACAATGCTGTTTGACAGCCAGGCTTGTCCAAGCTAATCAAAATTTGCTACAGTTTGATAACACTGTGAAGCCTGATGCTTTATGAAACACTTATAATTTGGTTTACCAAAAAACCACCGATCAGGAGTGAATTTAACAGCTGACTAGCTATAAAGTCTCTCTGTGGCAATTTCTAAACATCATAAAGCCATGTGTATGACAGGAAGATATGGTATCCACTATAAAGAAGCCACTGGAATGAAAAACCCTCATTTAGTTTTACAACATGATTTTGTGGCCCCCAAAGAAGTACCACAAGCAAAACACTTGACAATATAATAAAGTTTAAGTGCAGCAATTCAGTGCCATGTTGAGTACATCATGAGATCCAGCCAAAGTAGCCAACCTGCTCTGCGTGCCTCGAAGCAGGCCTGACCCATCTCATCTTTCAGCTCTTGGTTCTCTGTGGCAATGGCTTCCCCGACGGTGACAAAACGTCCGACTGCCACGCTCACTGCCTGGCCCACCCTGTGTATGGCTGTTAGGGTGCGCTCAGACTTCTTTGGCTTGTCTTTATGGTTGATCAGAGTGGTGATCTGCAGGAATGTGTGGAGAAAGAAAAAGGGAAAGCAGGATGTTACTGGTGCCAGAAGACAAAAACATAAGGGTATTGTTTGTGCTGTTTAAAAAAATAAACTTAAGTAAAATGTTAAAAAACTGCAGGTAAAACAGCAGCAATGGTTTTAAACTCAAAATTTAAAGCTTGCTTTACTAGCAGGGTTCACAGCAAATTTGTTGTCAGGTGCCACTGTAGTAATCTATACATCTTCCCAAACACACAATCTCAAAATAATCCACTAGACCATATAATTATGCCATGTAGGGTTGCAACTAATAATTATGTTTCTTATAGATTGATCTGTTAAGTTTTTTGATTGACTGTTTAAAAATTCTGCCTATGAAATGTCAGAGAACACATTTTGTCCGACCAACAGTCCAAAAGCCAACAATATTCAGATTACAAGAACATTACACAGAAATATACCAAATTCTCAGAACCAGAGAATCATTTTGTTTGATAAATGATTAAACACAATAGCTAACTAAGTAATCACTTCATCACCAATGAAGGCATAACAATCAGACATCTGTAGTAGCAGGACCGGCATGACTAAGCCCGAGGGAGAGATAAATGAATACAAAAGTCACATGGTTGCACATTACCAAACTAGAATTATAACTCTTTGTTCAACAGTGAAAGTGTGCTGTGATTATATACAAATAACATCTTTGATAAGGGGAGTGTATTGATCCTGAAGCATGTGCTCCATTTGCTTATCAGAAAAGACGAGTTTCCTGACGGTACAACTACAAGTGGAGATAACATTTTGCAAAATAGCATGTGAATAACCTAGTGTGTGTGTCAGACGGAGAGGAAGCATGTAAGTCTACAGAACAAACTCCCCGACATCACTAACACAGTGGTTCATAAAATGGGACAAAAGAACAGCAGATGGGACATGAACACACATCTTCTGTGACATAAACAAGACAATCCATACCTGGGTACACACACACACACACACACACACCAAACTCAGGTGGGGACTCTTAGTGATAATTAAGGATATCAATTATAAATGTATAGAGCCAATTATCATTAATTATTTATTGATTGTTTCCACACTCTCCAGCTGTTGTCATTGTGGGTGTTAAGTCTGTGTGTGTGCGTGTGTGCGGTCTTGTTTTTATATACTTGTGGGGACGGAACAATGGGAGCACACTAGTTTGCATGGACCGGAGGTCACTCGTGAGACTGGAGGCTGACAGATTCGTCAAATTTTACAAAAATGACAGGCTGTAAGGTTAGAGCAAGTGTCAGCTTTGGTTTAGGGTTAAGGGTTAAAGTCTGGTTTGGCAGAAAATCTGCACAACCCAGATAACAAGTTCCTTGAACAACACAGGACCTCCTGAAGTTCAAATTGTAGTTCCTTTCAATCATAAAAAACATTCACTTTGACAATGGCACTCATCAAAGATTTCTCATAAGCATACAAGCCCTACTGCTACTTTCTATAGAAAACAAAAAATGTTATAATGGGATTAAGGAAAGGGGAGAAAAGAAAATACAGAAAACATACATTTTATGTGCTCGCATTTACACAGCCAGCAAAAGAAAGCCACAAAGGTGTTTACAGATGTAATGAAAAACTGGAGTAAATGTGTGTAAATGTTTGGGATTATGTGAGTGTTACATGTTCACATCGGGTTTTACCAGGCCCCCATAGTTAAAATAAACCTGGTGGTCTCTAATTTTGTTACTGTTGTTGTCAGTCAGATTTGTTCCTGCTCTTCGCTCTCTGTAAAACCATTGTTCTGTAACTCAACCAAGATCCTGAAAGTGCTCATGAAGCACTTCTTTCGGTCCATCCTGCTGTACTTAATGTATCATTCTGTCTTTATTATCGCAGCATTAGAGCTTTCCTTCCTGTGTGAGCTGAGTGTTTGGCTCTGACTCATCCACACAGAGTAGCATTTTCCTTAGAAAACACCAACACTATGCAGCCTAAAAGAAGGAATTTGGGCACTGTGACGCATGATTCAGACCAACGTCATAAATGGACTGTTGTTCAACATCCGGTGGCGTTCATGTTATACAACAGACTTGATTAACACTTTTCTGATGTTACGTAAATGCTTCTGATGACTGAAGCATTTCTCCTCAGCTTTTCTTCTGTGCTCAGTTTGTCTGCATCTTGTGTAAAACTGAAACTGTGTATGCACACAGTGTTGCACATTTTTTACTGTCTGCAGGGTGCATACATGTCTGAATGCAAGAATAGGCAAGCATATTTTCCTTAGAAACTTTGTACAAACAAGTGGTGACACCCATGAACAACGGCAGGCTGGCCCTGGGGTTAGAGCATGAGAGAGGAAGCTGGTTTGCAACTGTGTGCATGTGTGAAGGTATACAAACACCAGCACCTCTCTAAAAGCACTCTGAGGCTGAGAAGAGGAAGAGAAAGTGACAGAAAGAGACTGCATGAGAGGCCAACAGAGGGAAATGAAAGAGGGTCAAGTGACGCCATAAGGAAACCAGAATACAATTTATCCTGTGTGAAAAGGTTTCTTCTACACTGTGGCACTTGAGGAGGGTAAAGTTTAACAAGTTTAAGATGGTGTGTCTGTGAAAGACAAACACAAAGTCCTTGTGAATTTCGGGAGGGGGAAAGAATAGAGAATAACCACAGCCTGGGATTTTCTCTGTTAGGGATTGCAAGGTGTGTACATTTACTGGGCTGTGCAAATAGGAAGGGAGCAGGGTGGAGCAAACATAATAGCAATACAGTGTCATCACAAGACGCAGGCCTTTGTGTTTATGTGTGGCAAAGGAACCATATCGGTCTCATTGTGCAGGGACAGAGGAAAGTGCACATTCATTCTACACTGTCAGGGAAAAACATAACAATCAGGGAAGACAATATTTTATTTTCTGAAACACTATTTATCTATAAAGAGCTCGGCACCGAGTGATACTGCCAATATGATACCTGAGTATCTTGACCAGGGTAATACACTTTTGATACTTAGATACATGTTTCTCTGCAAAACCCTTCACATTTAAATGGATCCTGTGGTGTTCTTACCATTAGTAGTGCTGTGGAGCAGTGTTATTCAGATTGGGCCCCATTTTAATTTTACAACAAGGAGCCACATGCAATTCAGTGTATATTTCTGCTGGTTTCACGCCGACTGACAGTTGGTGGCGGTAATGCATAAACAAAGCAAAGCAAAAACAATTAGGACAATTAAACATGCAAGACTATAAATATAAAAAAAAAATCAGCTTTGAAAATGTTTTATGAGAAAGGAAACACATTCAACATGTTTGTTAGACCTCAAAAAAAGACACTGACTGTAAATATAATTTTGTTTATGAGAAAAATCCAAAGGAGCATCATTAGCTAAAGTCAGCCCTCACAAATGTCGATTTTAAACACACTTTGCCTAAATGGTTAAATTGTAATTTAAACTAAGAAATATCTGATCAGCAAATAAGTAAATGAAACTCCAGATATGATCCGTTGTTCAATGCCAACTTTCCCTGCTTTACAGATCTTCGCTCAATATCAAAAAAAGTACTGAGATTTTTCACCTAACTCTGTTCCTTTTCAACAGCTGCTCAATCACTGAAGCTGCCTTTAGGTCCAAGTTTAGGAGTTCACCGCATGTTGCAGTCTATTCATTAAAAATGTCTTTTCGGTTCATTCTTCACACACCCTCACTACAGCGAACTGCTGCACTCCAGCAGCGTTTGAATACCAATAAGCACAACCAACCAAGCAGAATCCACTCTGAAGCCTGCAAAATCCCTCAAGGATTTACACAACGTGAAATCTGTGAAATAGACAGAAATGTTGCTTTACATGCAAAGTCTGATCTCCAATAGATTTGTTTATTGACAGAGCTAACTGAGCATTTCCACAAGTAAAAAGAAAAAAATCAGCCCCTCATGGTTTGGTTGCTTTGCCCATGCAACTTGAATGTAGAAGGGTCAGCTGTGGAGAAAATAGTCTGATAGGTTATGTGTGTTACTCTCTTATGTCACCATGAAGAATTTAACTAAATGTCTGATGTCCCTGATCTGGGGGGAACACCCACTGCAAATTACAAACACGCACACACACACACAGTTCTGTATATAATCTCACAGTGTTTCTCTCTTTTTCACTCACACATGAACACAGCAGAACCCTACTGCGCTGTCCATCCCTCTCTTGTTACTTCCCCCCCAGTACACAACCAGTCAATTCCCAGCCATTCACCACTCAAATCTTTGTTGTCTATAATTAGGAGGACAATTACAAAGCCATAAAAACCACATCAACCTTACGCTGAGTAACACTATACATGATCAGAGGCCCACCCATTGGTTAGAAGGAAATCCAGACTAACACCTCAAGGACACAGTGACCGACTATAAATCAGTGGGTAACAAAAGCTGGAAACAGTTGTGGCTGCCTCCCACGGCTACTGGCTGAGTTTCACTGAATGGCAATCCCGGGAAAAAGTTTGGTTTGGTCAGTCATTCTTTCTTTCTTGTGATTCATGAACAGTGCAGTTGTATAAATGTGTAGAATGAATGGTTATGTTTGGGGAAGATATAGCCAGTGTGCTCAAACCAGATCAAGTCAAATCCACGTTCTCAGCTGAAAATTGACATCATTCTTGTCATTTAATAAATGCAAGAAATCTGAACAACTCAACCTGGAAGCCTGACTGGGCTTTTATTTAACTCACACTATAGCCACCACTGGCTAAAAGGTGAACAAACCCACCGTAACATCACCTGTTAGCTTTCTGAAGAGCAATTTTGAAGCTCAAGTCTGGCCGTTGCCAAATTGGTAGCACTTCACTCTGCCTCCTACGGCTCATTCAAACCCCTATGGTGGGCCCCTCCTGCCTGTCACTCAAGGTGGCCCCGCCCTTAATCATGTGTAACTTTTAGTCTCAATATAACTTAAACAGGTGAATAATATAAAATACACTTAAAGTACAGTTAATACGAAAGGAGAAATTAGCTATAAAGACCTAA